CTTTGCGAACTATGCAACATGATTGACATGGATGCATGCATTTTACAACCGATGTGGCCAATGCCCAATGATCGATTGTGACACACATGATTTGCAAATATGGCATGATTGACATGGATGCATGCATTTTACAATCAATGTGACTGATGCCCAATGATTGATTCCGATGCTCATGCTTTGAAAAACTATGTAGCATGATTGACATGGATTCACTCATTTTATGAGCAATGTAACCAATACCCAATGATCGACATGGAGACACGCCTTTTACGATTGATGTGGCCAATGCCCATTGATCAATTCCGACGCTCACGCTTTGTGAATAACAACTACATAACAATGCAGCATGGTCGACACGGATGAACGCATTTTATGATCGATGTGACCGATGCCCAATGATCAATTCTGATGCTCACGCTTTGCAAACGATGTGGCATGATAGACACGGATGCACACATTTTATGATTGATGTGGCCAATGCTCAATGATCGATTCCAACACTCGCGCTTTGCAAACGGTGCGGCATGATTGACATGAATGCATGCACTTTACGATCAATGTTGCCAAAGCTCTTGCTTTACAAAAGATGCGGCATTATTGACAGGAATGCACTCATTTTGCAATCAATGTGTCCAATGCCCAGTGATCAATTCTGATGCTTGCGCTCTACACTCAATTTGGTCGATGACCAATGACCAATGCATGTGCTTTACGATTGATGTGACTGATGCGCAATGAAGAATGCACTTTAGGATCAATGTGGCATAACACAACATAACACAATGCATAGCACTACATAACATGACATTACATTATAACACAAAACATCACAACCAAAATTATCATAACAAAGCACATCATAACATAACACCACACATTATAGCACAACATATCATTACCAAGTGCATTATAATACATCCTAACATAACCCAACATATTGTAACACTACATAACATAACAGAACAAATTGTAAAAACATAAAATAACATACTATAATGTAACACAACACAACAATATATTGAACTACATAACATAACACTTTACATTATAGCATAACATAAATCATTGTAATAAAACACTATACGTTGTAACATAATATAGAATAATACAACAAATTATACCAAAACATCTAACAGAAGCACATTTTAACACAACATATCATGATACAATGCATTATATCATTATGATATGATATCACATGATACAATATACACATTATATCACATGATACAGTGCAATGCATTATATCACTAAACGCAACACATTATAACATATCACAATGTAACACCACAGATCACAACATGACATAACATAACATAAGATAATAAAACAGGACACCTAATAACATAATATAATATAACAGGCAAATAATAACACAACATAATATAACAGAACACATTTTAACACATCATAACAAAAGACAACACATAAATAAATAAATAAACCATTATAATACATGTCATTAGTCATTACAATGTATAACATAACACATCATAACACATCACAATACTTATAACAAATTCTAATATAAACCAATACATTATAACATAGCAAATTCTGTTATGTTATTTCATGTTATGTTATTTTGTTATTTCATGTTATGTTATTTTCTGTGCTGTTATGTTGTGTTATAATGTGTTGTTATACTATCTTATGTTATGTTGTGTTACAATTTTTTATATCATGATATGTTCTGTTACTATGTGTTCTGATATGATATGTTGTGGTAGAATTTGTTGTCTTGTTCTATATTATGTTACAATGTATAGTAATATATCATGATGTTTTATTTTATGTTATAATGTGTTAAAATGTGTAAAATTATGATATTACAATATATTGTTATGATGTGCTATGTTATGTGGTTACAATGTGTTCTTTCATGTTATGTTGTTGTTTTTACGTGTGATGTTATATTTTGTTACAATATATTTTGTTATGTTATAATGTGTAGTATTGTGTTATAATGTGTTGTGTTCTTATGTTGTGTTTTATGGCACATTGATCATAATGCGCATGTGTCAGAATTGATCATTATGCATCAGCCACATTGATCGTTAAATGCGTGCATCCCTGTCAATCATGCTGCATTGTTAGCAAAGCAAGAGCGTTAGCCATATCAATTGTAAAATGCGTGCATCCATGTCAATCATGCCGAATTGTTTGCAAAGTGTAAGCATCAGAATTGATCACTGGGCATTGGCCACATCAATCATAAAATGCGTGCATCCGTGTCAATCATAATGTCACTGGTTTGCTTGAATTGCAAACTCACTAAAAACTTGAAAGCTAAGAAAACTCCACAAAAAATCATAGTATCTTTAAAGAAAACGTTTCGGAGTCCAGCTCTGTCGTCAGTTCAAAAATTCTAGAACACAGATAAACCAGTAATTAGTACAGTCAAGATTACAACAAAAAACATAAGCTGTAAAACCTACCGATTTACAATTTCAAGCAGGTAAGAGCTAAAAGCTAAATTCAAACTAGGCCTCTGTTTAAAAATATACAATGATTCTAAAATGCGCAAATCAGAAACACCAGAACTGGAAGCTAAAACTTTGAAGTCACTGTCAGAAACTGGAACATTGCATTGCTCGGCGTGAGCCCGCACAGCCGAATGAGGTGGACATGACAGTAAGTCACCAGTTCTACAACTCCTGCCTCTATGTTCTGCAACCCTAGAATAATGATTACGAGACGTCATCCCGACGTATGCAGATGCACATTGTGCACAACTATATTTATAAACTAGGGACAATCGCATATGCACAGAGGTGGGCAGTAGCGCGCTACATGGAGCGGCCGCTACTAGCGGCCGCTACATTTTCAGTAGTGGTAGCGGTAGCGGCTCTACATTTAAGGCAATGTAGCGGTAGCGGTAGCGCCCGCTACATATTTAAGTAGCGATACGAGGTTTTGCCGCTACAGCGCTACCGCTACATTTATAGATAAAGCCTTTAGATCTTAATTAAGGGGACCGGCTACCCTCCAACAAAACTTTTTTGTTTACAGACGGATCGTTTTGAAACTTGGTACACATATGTAAAACAGAAATCTAAGACCTTTTTGTTCATGTAAATTTAAAAAAATGAAAGAAAACGTGGAATTAATAGAAAACGGCAAATAAGGGGTACTCTAAAAAAAATTATAACTTTTGCAAATCACATGCTACAATGTCGAAACACATATCATTCGATTTGTAACAACAATATCTAGCAACTGTAGAGCCTCGATTTTTTATTTTCCTCATCGTTTTTTTTTTAGTTTTTCCCATTTTTTCACATTTTTAACCCCCCACCTTCCTCTCCCTTCCATATATTAGTCAAACCATGCACATATTAAAAAAAAAAAGGCTTCTAGAGTCGCTAGGTATTGTTTTTACAAATCGAATGGTATGTCTCTCATTGCCGTAGCTTGAAAACTGTTGTAGTTATAATTTTTTTAAGATGGCGTTTTTTGGATTTTTAAATTGTTCAGGGGAGCTAAATAAAGTAAAATTCATTGAAAACAGAAGAATATGCGCTAAAAGTCTTGATATTGTAGCCCAAGCTTTCTCATTGCCAATTATTTGCATTCAAGGTACCAGCACGCGTCTCTAGGCCTATTTATGTTCAATTTAACGTGAATAATAGGCTATAAATGGGACTTTTTATATATAAATATATATATAAAATATTCATTTTACATAAGTTTACAACTGCATTACGCAAAAACTATTGCATGAACATCCATGGTAGTAGCAGTAGCGGTAGCGGTAGCGCCCGCTACATTTAGAGCATGTAGCGGTAGCGGTAGCGCCGCTACATTTCCAAGTAGCGCTGCCCAGCTCTGCATATGCATAGGGAGAGTATCTGTACCTAAAGAAAGAACCAATTTTAAAATGGTTGACCAATATGACACGAAGATTAACATTTGTGAAATACTTCAAAAACATCCCAAATACATCTCATGTCAATCATGACGCATTGTTCACGATGCGCGAGCGTTAGCCACATCGATCATAAAATGCGTGCATCTGTGTTGATCATTGATCGTGAAGCGCGGGCGTCTATGTTGATCATTGAGCAGCAGCCGCATCGTTAGAGCAACATCGGCTGAATCGATCATAAAGCATGTGCATCAGTATCGATCATCAGGCATCAGTCAGAGATGCACTTTCGTTTTTCTAGCAAACATCTTGGTAACTTTCTTCCCTGGTGTACTGGCATACATCCCAAAATAAACTTCCGGCGCCCATGCCGCACCTTCCAGGCCACGAGCAATCAATTTTGATGTCCTTGCCGTCCGTTTGCTGCAAGCATCAAGGTCCACTGTCCGATGAGATTGTTCCTTTGGCATCTTTGAGCAGAATAACGGCGTCCTTGTGCAATACTCTACAGACAGGCTTGGCGAGCCGCGACTGAATTTTTCAGTCTTTGCTTTCATAGATTTGCCAGCCGGGATTCCATTTCTTTGAGCCGTGATTTCATTTTTTTGAGCCGTGAATGCCATATCTTGGTCAGGAAAAGCCATTTACAAGGCGCAAATTTATTTACAAAGTTCATGCACATGTTACCCCAATTCTCTAATTTTACTCTAAAACATTCAAATGGCAACAATAACATTTGTCTTTACTGGCAGCTGAACACGTGTTAATGCAGTCTGACCACGTTGATGTGACTGTGCAACTATGCACGATCTTCAACATAACGTTTAGGTTGGCTTGTTTACATTACGGTGATTACGTTCTGCAGGATATTTTGGTGGGAACAATAAAGCAGTGTGGATTACAGAAGTTGAAAATTTTATGAAATAACATGTTTGCGAAGTGCAAACCACAATTTTTTCAATCAAACAAAAATTTATGACATTTGAGCTGGGAAATTTCATACCTATTGAAATTATATGATATTAGAGCCACGATATTTCAGAAAAAATAGGACTTTTTCAGCCCTGCTTGGTGTATGTGATATAGAGTATTACATGTTTTGTAAGATTTTTTGCAGTTAGAATGGGAATAATGTATTTGAATGTTTCTTTTTTTTCAGCTCCTGAATTATTTCTCTTTAGATAATCTTTGCAATGACCAAAACTCTATTTGAAAGAAGTTGTATTTTATGATCATAATTCTGAACTGAGGTCCCTTCAAATCAGTACGATGGCAACAGCTCTGGAGCACCTAGTATCTGAAGTTACTTCTCTCATTGGTCAGAGTAAGTTGCCTGAAATAGCATATTGTCTTTATTCAATCAAATCAGGAAGAATCAAAATGAATTTTGGCAATTAACATGAAAATGGAATTTCCTCCAATTACACTTTTGATTTTAGTATTGGTTTTACAAGTCTAAATTGTAAGTTGAACGTGATTATTTTGTTCCAATTTATACCAAGTGAGAATTATCAAATGGATTTTCAGCATTCTTTTGTCAGTCTACTGCAATAAATTCTTCCCACACTGGACTCCATTAATAAAGCAAAGCAATATGCTCTAATATTAATGAACAGAATTTGCTCAGTTCAGAATTTTTTTTTGTTGGTTGTATACTTTTTTCACTATCTTGATCTAGCCTAATACATAACTTTCATGTTACCCACAAAAAGTAATCTACAGTATTTACAATGTTGTGAGCAGGCAAGTATGGTGATGCTGCCAAACACCTCCAAAAAAGTCGAGATATTTTATCCAAGAACAGTGGGCATCTGGACACAGTACTGGCGACTCTTCAACCTCAGATTCACACCATAGCTGTTGCTGCTGTGCTGCGTGCCAGACTTGCTGCTGCTGTACCGACCGACTCTGCCATTGACACCTTGCATGCAACTGTCGCTGAATTTGTTGCTGTTTGTGACCCTGAACAGCTCATCCATGTGCAGGATGCTAGTGAGTTCAATTGGCTGCAGGCGAGTGCAATCAGCAAACCTATAATTGTTGATTTTCTCCAAGCTTCATGTTCTAATGATCTTAATGTTTTTCACTCTAAAAAAGGCAACACCTGCAATAGCAGCAATACATATTTTTTGTAAACTAAAGCCAAAAAATAAATAAATACAGTGGTCACCCTAAAGAGAATAAAAATGTTCCATTGGAAATTACCTCGCAACATTTTTCTCAGTTACTGCATTTATTTATTACACTCTTCACCAAGTAAATTTTGTTACTATGCTGTTCACTCTTTTTTGAATATCATGCTTAAGCAACTTAGCAACTGCAGAATTATATACTTGGTGCTTTCTCCTTTGTTTCCTTGCAAATAATCTGAGTTAGTCTTCCTGAACAATTTTTTCACTGGTTCTGTGATTAAGTTGCATGCCTCAACCACTCAATAAATAAGTGGACTCACAAAAGGAAAGATGAAATTTAACATTATTTATTGGTAATGCAGTGTGTGAGATGCTGGAAGAATACTGCCGACTCTTGGTTACGGGAGGCTGTCCGATGCGTGGTATTGAAGTTATTAATTCAGCGGTGAGTAGCCCTAGCCAGATTTTATAGATTAATTACTATAACATACTAGTTCATTCATTGCATTAATACTCGGCAAAAAATTCATGTTATAAATCATGGTTTTAATTTCCCTGTTAGGCTTACTCTCTGAACATCAAATACCTAGTCTGTGGAATATCTTCTTTTTTGGGATGGGCCTTAGTATAATGAATTATTTTTCATGTAATGGTCATGGTCACACAGTGCTAAAGAATTTAACTTATTTCTTTTTCTCAAATTGAAATTTGCATTTTGTTTGATATTTAGAAGTGCCTCACATTCACTAAACTTTTACTTAGAGCATTGAAGTTTTTGTAAATGCAGTAATTTTTTGCATAAATTGCATAAAATCTAGCCTGGCTCTAAGCTAGTTGGCTGCAGCCAGCTGTACAAGACTATACATGCTCACTCAATGTTCTGGAAATAACAATTTGGTTTGGTACGGTATTTGCAATGGGCGATTGGCTGTCTGAACTGGTTCATTGTATTTCCTCCATGTGCTGGAATTTCTTTTCCTCATCACTAACTGCTAACCAGTAGTGTTTTTCATTATTGGTAATATAATTAATAAAATTCTGTCAAAACATCATGGTGCCATTGAGACAAGTTACTGTTCATACCAGCAATTAAAAATATAAAGTATAAAAATTTTGAGTCCATTGAATCTATGCCTCATTTCCTGTGATATCTGCTAAACCTCTCCTGTAGGACAAGCAATGACATTATGAGTTATGCATGTGGAAATGATAAATGATTAGAGTTGTTGACATTTTGTGTAGAATGCTCTCAGCAAAGTTATGAGATTTTCAGAGATCCGCTTCTACTACTTGAAAAATGAATTGAAATTTGGTCCTATTCCTCTGCTTGGATCTTTTTTGTATGCGTGAACATTATTTGAAATTTTTTGGTCAATGTAATCCTCACCCAACAAGAAGCCCCCTGAAAATCAGCACTTCCTGACAAAAGGTTTTCCCCCACCTTGGTTTTGAATGCTGCATCAAAGATGAGCTTGAGTATGTGATGATCACAGGCAAGGCAAAGAAACTCCAATCCAAATTTCTGTTCCATGAGGACACAGGCTGTGTTTTACTATGCCGTGTTTGCTGACATTGTTTTGAAATGATGTTGAATTGCATGCCGTTATCATTAGCGAAATTTATTTGATTGACCATCAGTGCTAGGTTCTTGGTCATCTTTCAAATGATGAAGCACGTCCTAAGATTTATGGTTTCTATAAATCTGGGTTTAATTAGGTTTCTAGACCTAGATGGAGAAATTTGAATGATGAGGTGATGAAATTTGACAAAAAGTATTAATACCACCATCATCTTCAATAACTTTTTCTCTATTACTCTTCTAAAGTTTTGTTTGGAAATATTGCACTAGTAAATCAGTAGCAGGTTGTGATTTATTCTTGCATATAATCAAGATACTTTTAATTGATAATTGATTATCAGGAAAAATGAAATTGAACATTTTCATATGTGAACAGAAAGTATGAAAGCATGTTTTCAGTTTTTCTCATTCAGAAAGTTTGCTAGTATTACATTATCAGCTTTCTAGGGTTTCAGTTAAGCTTGAATTATTCCTAAAATTATAGATGGAAGTTGTTACAGAGCAATGCTCAAGTAACTGGGCTTCATTGAATCAGTTGCTAGGAAATGTTCTAAATATGGTATTGCCAGTGGTACATAAGGCAGTGGTACTCCTACCATTGTTGCTAATGTACTCCTACCTATCCCAAGCTATGTAAACTATCCCCATTAAACCATAAAGAATCACTGTGGTATTTTATTTATCTTAATGATCCTAATTTGGCCTACAGGTGAAGGCTGATCAATTTATGTTACAGGTATTTCTTTGTATTGTGAAATAATTCACAATTTGTAATTTAGAAATTCTATCTTTTTTTGGGTTGCTCATAATTCAAGTAGATCTCTAATCATAAGCTCACAGAATCATTTCGAGGCCTTCGTGCAACTTGCACTGCTTGGGGAAAAAACTGAAAAATGTTTTTTTTCAGGGCCCATGACACAACCCTAGTTAAAACAGAATCTGTTTTAACTATGAAAAACCATTCTTGGATAGTATTCTTGAGACAATCAGGAATTTTTGTGAAAATTTCAAAGCTCATGCAACCTTCAGGTTTCAAATAATCCGTGAATTTCAGATCCTACGACTACAAGCCCACAACTCAAGCCACCACCTGACGGGGGCCCACCCGCTGCTGCTTTATCTTTGCCTAGCTTCACAGTGCCTCAAGCCCGCCGTCGCGCTGCTCGACCAGCAAATTATGGATGTTGCTAAGGAGGTGAGCGGGACTGCGCCATAGCTTATAGCAACGGTAATTCTAGTTAGGAAATAATCCGTTCAAGGAAAATCAAATGTCGAAATATAAAATTTTGATCACCTTCTCAATCATTTTGCACAATTATTTAGTTCCAAAAAATGCTGAAAAACTCTTATTTTTTAAAAGCCTTGAGAGGCATGATATTAATAAAATAATGCATTTTAACTTCGATTTTATTTTACTGGGCATCGTGCATTAACTACTATATTCTCTTATAAAATGATCTATCTGGGCAGCCAAGTTGTATCCTAAACAGAACTTGATTAGGACGTTATAATTGAAGATGTTTCGTGTATTTGTAATTTATTATGTGTTTGGTATGGCAAGAGCGAAGGAGTGACGGTGAAGCAGTTCCTGCTGTATCACTACTACGGAGGCATGGTCTACACGGCCGTCAAGAGGTACGGCCGAGCTCACCACTTCTTCAAGATCTGCATATCCACCCCCGCCCTGGCCGTGTCTCACATCATGATGGAGGCTTATAAGAAGTACATCATCGTCTCGTTGCTCATAGATGGCAAGGTGGGTGTGCGGGTGTCTATTGCAAGGTATATGCAAGACTTGTCATCTTTGTGTTTACAGTTATGTGTAACATGTGAGTTGTTAGTAAGTAGAGCATAATTATTCTGGTTTGATTTATTTCTTTCTGTTATAATATTGGATTGTCAATCATATTTCTGCACTTAGTGAGGCAAGAATTGATCACTCGCTCACTTGTAATGAAATTTGCCCGCCTGGTATTACTGTGATATTAAAGGACGTTGACTGACGGGCAGGTTGGGAAGCTGCCGAAGTGCGCGTCAATGGTGGTGCCGCGCTTCATCAGGCCGCTGTGCCAGGTTTACCTCGACCTCATCCAGGCCTTCCAGTCCGGCCCTGAGTCGCTCAGCCAGTACATCCTCCAGCACGCGCCTACCTTCACGCGGTACCCTCACGCTCCCGTACTCCTCTCATTATTTTGCTCTTTGCTTATGTTTGCCAACAGGAATCTAGTAAACAAGCCTTAGAATACGACCAGTATTGACGACGGTTAATATGTACGTTGACGTATGATTAAACTTATGTTTACCAACAGGAATCTAGTAAACATGTCTTAAGATAGGAGCAGTATTGACGACGGTTAATATGTACATTGACGTATGATTAAACTTATGTTTACCAACAGGAATCTAGTAAACATGTCTTAAGATAGGAGCAGTATTGACGACGGTCAATATAGGTTGACGAATGATTAAACTTTTGTCTACCTACAGAAATAGAGTAAACAAGTCTTGAGATATGAGCAGTATAATTGACAACGGTTAATGCATCTGCAGAAAAAAAGGCCGAAGTCTCGATTCTAATAATCAACATGAAGATTCTGAAGTTATTTTCTCTTTAATGGGGAGTAATGATTGTAGGTTTGATAGGCAGCCTGTTTGCGGCTAGTCGCGATCTATGGAACAGCGTACGACTCTTAATTAACTATCGCTAATGCATTGCATTTTATAGTTTAGTATTCCAGTTTAATCGCGTCATCGGGATCTTTCTGAAGGTTTGGTTTTCCTGTTCTTGTACATGTAAAAACTGTTAAGCAGGAAATAATAATTTGAATTTTGTTGCTAATCTGATAATATTAATGTGTTGTATGTAACAGAGAAGGTAACTACGGGCTGGTGAAGCAGCTAACGTCAGCGCAGTTCAAGCAATGTATCCAGAAGCTGACACGCACCTTCCTCACCCTCTCCCTGGCTGACGTCGCCCTCAGAGTCAAGCTGCAGCTCCCAAAGCTGGCCCAGCAATATCTCCTGAACATGGTGAGTGCTGTATATATGGTGATTATCTCCTGAATATGGTGATTATCTCCTGAATATGGTGATTATCTCCTGAATATGGTGATTATCTCCTGAATATGGTGAATTTTGCGTATATGATGATTATCTCCTGGGTATGTTGAGTGCTGCATCTATGGTGATTATCTCTTGCGTGTGGTGAGTGCTGCCTCTCTTGTCTCCATCTCCTAATTTTTTACGTTCAAGTCTTGACTTAGGTGCGCATCGGCTCTCAATAGTTAATCCAGCTTCTATATCTGCCATATAAATCTAGTCGTCTGTTTGATTATACTCTTTTGTTGAATTTTAACATTAACTGATCATTGAGTTGCGCTGCAAAACGTTTTCCATAAACATTCCCATGAAAATTTCATTGTTTTCTTTCGTTTACTGTATTTGCATATTTGCTATAAAAACTTAATTTTTTTCTTTGGCACTTTCTTTGCTTGTAGATATTCACTGTTAATTGTAATTATAGTTTCTCGTAAGGTGGTCCAGTAGCAATTTTGGCATCGATCTCCACGATAGTTCATTATGATTAAAGTGAATATATCTCAATCACTTGGTTCAATCCAAGTTTTGTTTCTGATTTTCTTTTATTTTGAAATTTTATTTGTGATCAGATAGAAGACGGGGAGATCCACGCGTCCATAAACCAGAAGGACGGCATGGTGGTGTTTAAGGACAACCCTGAGCAGTACAACGCCTCGGACACCCTAGACCTTCTGCACGAGAGGGTGAGCGTGTACACCTGCTCTTGACTTCTGCTTCAACGCATTCAACCATGCAACTTTTATCATCCATCGTTTATTATGTCTAGCGTCCTCAGCTTTGTCAATTTGCATGGGCAAGCTTGAAATTTCCTTTTCTAGAATGAGAAAGTTATAGTATTCAGCTTTCTACAACTTATTTAAAATTTGTACGAAATATTGTACTTTTTTCTTATAATTTTCGAACTATTTATGCGGTAAGCTTGGTTTGTGAGACCTTTTATAAGGAAATAATTTCCTTGCTCGGTGGTACACAGTGGATTTTTGGTAAAATCTAATTCAAGGAAATTCTCCAAAGTTCCACGTGTATTGACAGAAGGTTTACCGATGAAGTCGTGTCAAAAGTTGCATCATTTAAATGGTTCCCTTTTACTACTCTAAATTTAGAAAACCTGATGATTGGGAAGAATTGATATGTGATCGGTGACCACTTCCCTTACGTCACTGACATATTTGATATTACCTCAAATAGGCGCATGTTTATAATCAGTTATTTGACTGTTTGTACCAAACCACCCATCAATTTAACCACTCTTGTATCCTTGAATTTTTTTTTGTTAGGTATGGATTAGGAATAACCGTTTTAAATATAGCGGCTTACCTTGGAGCCTAACTTACTAAGCCTATCGTGAAATGTGCCTACAGATGGAACGAGTGATGGAGATGGAGAAGAGACTGGTGGAGATGGAGGAGGCTATACAAAAGAACCCTTCTTATATCCACAAACTGATGGGCCCCGTGGACGAAGACATGCTGCCACAGCCCACAGCCTCCACGTCTGCTATGTAGGAATAGTGGTGCCGTAGTAGTGTCCGCGCCGCGTGCGTTACCTTCACGTTCGTTCCCATGAAGATACAACGCGTTGTACTCCACTCAATTCACAGTTTTTGTTTCTTATTTATGTTCTCAATCATCGATGTTTTTATTTTCAAGAGGAAATCTTTTTCATTTTTTTCTAACTATGTTTATTTCTAAAAGAATAGGATAAATGTTCAGTTTTTTCCTTATTCAATTGAAATATATCATTACCATTTCTAGAGCTAATTGGTGATCCTAATAATAAAAATGTATGAGATGAGTGTTTGTTCTATCTAAACCAATGCGATGAGTATCTTTGCAAGCGGCAGAGTGGCTCATTTTTTGAACAAATGTAGCAAAAGCAACGAACCATGCGATGTTAGGCATCATAACATAATATAACATAGAGTTATCTCGGCGCTGAAGTGTAGGCCTAATGTGGCCTGTCGCCGCATGTGGAACTTTATTTGGTCCACCCACCTTCTCATAGGTTCTCAAATTGATGGAACATTCTCAACGTTTCACTGCAGTCCCGCATGTTGCCTTACTACTGGAGAGCTGTTTTTTTGCTGCCTCACGTTATGAAAGTGTCAGTTTGAGTTCAACCGCCTGACACTACGAACGTGTCAGTTTGTGCTGTGCTGCCTGACGTTACGAACGTGTCAATTTGGGTTTTGTTGCCTGACGCTACGAACTTGCCAGTTCGTGTTGGGCTACCTGACGTTACGAACGTGTCAGTTTGTGTTTTGTTACCTGACGCTACGAACTTGTCAGTTTGTGTTTTGTTGCCTGACACTACGAACGTGTCAGTTTGTGTTTTGTAACCTGACGTTACGTACGTGTCAGTTTGTGTTTTGTAACCTGGACGCTACGAACGTGTCAGTTTGTGTTTTGTTACCTGACGCTACGAACTTGTCAGTTTGTGTTGTGCTACCTGACACTACGTGACTACGAACGTGTAAGTTTGTGTTTTGTTGCCTGACGCTACGAATGTGTCAGTTCGTGTTTTGTTGCCTGACGCGTCGAACTTGTCAGTTTGTGTTTTGTTGTCTGACGCTACGAACGTGTCAGTTTGTGTTCTGTTACCTGACTCTACGAAATTGTCAGTTTGTGTTTTGTTGCCTGACCTTAGGACGTTTTCATTTGATAGTCTCACTGAAGTGTTTCACTCGTATGAAGAGCCTAGCCAGCTTGAGGCTCTGGTGAATCATAGAACTACTTTACTAAGTTTTTTAATAAAAAAATTAAAATTTTAACAGAAGAATATGAAGGGGTCGTTTTTGTATACAGACAGCGAATTGATTTGACGCAAGCGAGTTTTAAATGTTTTAATTTTGAATCGTGTAGAGTTGCTTTTAAAAGGTGAACTTTCCTCTAGATGTGTCTGAATTTTGTCTGAATTTCTTTTGCCTCCTGCTTTGAGTCATTAAGATCTTAGTTCTGGACGAACGTCTTTGTCGAATATTGCTGCAGATGATCCAAAATTTATGGTTTAAAAAGATTTACTCGTCAAATCATAGCGTATAGATCCAATTAAAAGAGCTTGACTCATTAATTTGGATTGAGTTGAATGAATGCTAGCACAATTCAGAATTCAATCGGAGTCAGGAATACCTATTTACTGAGTATTGACTGAACAGAGAGCCTCATATTCACCTTCCTAGCTCCTCAGTTGTGAACACTCAGCCTTTAGTAGTTACGCATAGGCTCTCCTGGAGTGAAAAAGCTTAACGAAACTTCGTTATCCCAAACTCAAGCTGAACAGGTTTCACACTGTAATATTCGATGCAATTGAGAAATACCAATAGAGATAATTGATAATGTCGGTTTAATTATTTAAGGTTATGGCGATGAAATATTGTAGAACTCTGTAAACATGGTTCTCAGTCGTAGCGCACTACAGGGCGTACAGGCTGGCGGTGAAGGGAATTTATTATTATTTTTTTTTATTCAATTTTTAATCCAATTTATATCTGTAGATAAAAGAACCTGGCAGTTACAGAATTTTCATTAGAACTGAATATGATTTTAGGTAGTCATTTTATTTCCCATGGTTAGTACACAGATTCGTTCCTAAGCTTTCATTTGTTGCCTGCAAAGCAATCAATTTATGAAAATTTTTAAGAATTGTGCTGTGCTCAGTTCTAGGAATGTTTACATATTGCACGTAGCACAAGTTCAATGCGGGCGTGACTATGTCTCTGCAATTAGATTAAGCAGGATGTGGTGTTGTTAAAATGATGTGTAATATATGGAGAAATTCAATGCCTACTGATTTAATAGCCCACGCAGCAGGCAATCAATGCTGTTTCTTCAATCATAAGTGAATTCCCAGTGACGCAAACTCAGAGTTATGTTGGGAAATCCAAGTGATCAACTTGTCTTTAGGAGATTTTCGTCTCAGTCTATTATACCATATGCTGGAAAGAACGTAAACGTGCGTGTTCGATCAAGGATGATTATAGGTTCTGAGTACACACCGTTTGAATTATTCTTTATTACTATTGCAATATTAATATATTATTAGCTGCTTTATAATAAGAGCTTCTCATGAGCAGCCGTTCAGGCTGTGACAGCGAGAGCATTTGCCTCAGCTGTGAACGGCTGACTGGCTGAAGTAGAGGCGCGTTGGCTGACCGCTGACGGCTGAAGAGCCATTGTTCAGTCTTCAGTGAGTCATTGGCAGTGTAGCCGTGAGGGTGACGTCCTAGCTTGCGTTTTTGGGCATCAAATCTTCGCGTATATTTATGTGACTTCATGAGACTTGGTACCACGTAGAGTATTTTTTTCAATAATGTCACAACATTAAAAGCAAGATTTTTTACGGACAAATATCTGGGTTAAGTTCTAAGTGTCAGAAGACCAAATATAGTGGATGCCCTTTACTTTAGAGTTTAGACGGTAGACCTGAATGATGCTTGACAATTCATCATGTGAGCATTGTGTGCTGTAATTTTTTCCTGCAAACAAAAAAAAAACAGAATCGATTTCTATGTCCTCCTGAGTCCTGACCTAGCCAAAACATTATAACCGTTCGCATTCTTTCCATTCTTCTCGAATCTCGATCTTTGTGGCACGGCGCTTGCAACACAACTGATGTACCACATTGAGTCCTCGAACGTGATCTAAAAAATCTCTGCAAGCTCTTTTAATGCTGATAATTTCCCCCTATATTTCTTGAACTGTATTTTTGTATGAAGTATGTTGAATAAAGAGCCTAGAAACTATGTAGGCTCTCGCAAACCGAGTGCGATAGGACTGTACGTTATAAATTAAATTAGTAAGCCGACAACTGACGCTGTAATTTATTTAGTCTTCTTCATACTGTGGACTGTTGTTTATTGATATTTATTTTATTCTAAAGTATCATCATTATTTTACTATCCCTTATTTACGAGACGATATTTTCATCGCTATTTAGTACGATAATGAAAAATTTTGTCCTCATGAGAAGGCTCAACGCTGAAGGTCGTTGATCCGATCTTGTCTGAACATTTCGTAGTTTCCTTTCATCTGCCTGATTCCTTGTTGCAAGTAGGCTGAGCTTCGCGTGGGTTGCTTGCGTTGTACCAGTATATTAATATATGCAGTAGCTGTTTAAACCTCATTTGCAAATATTCCTTCAATAATATGGTGATGAAACCCATTCTACCTAATGTGTAGGGCCAAGTTAATTCTCACCAATCTTATTGTGTCACGCATGCGCAACACAAGACTCGACTTTTCACTAAGCTTTTTGTTAGCTGGCTTAATGTAAGCTGCATTTTTGACAGCTTGTCGAATTTTCCATTCTTTTGTAGTCTCGTAATCATCAAAAAGTTATTTTGTAGCCGGAACTTGAAATTGGTCACAATATTAATTCACGATAAGTCCACAAGCTTGCCAGGTTTTAAACATTTTAGCATTCAGCCCCAGGCCTCGTTAAGACGCCACAACACTGCGGTATGAATCAGACCTTCTCATTCCCAGTGCCATGTACTAAAAGGCATTCATCAGACCTCCAGGCAAGGTTGGTGCCTTCACAGCCTAGCTAGCCTGCTAGGTAGGGTACAGCGTATAGTTCGCTGCTGCTTGCTGCTGTTAAATCTCGCTTTGCTAGTCGTCAATGTGCTTCATATTGACTACGTCTTAGAAACTGTGCGGGACATTTTTTATCTTAATATAAATAAAAGTTCTGAGCCTAAAAATGTCTTTTCTGGTAAATTGTGTAGTATTTTATTGTCTTCATTTTAGAGAATAATGAATAGTGTGATAAGATAAAGATGATCGACCAGAGTTCGATCCCCGATAAGGAGACGATTTGTATGCAGCGAATGTCAAGCAGCCGCTCAAGCAGTGACAGCAATGAGAGCGAGCTCTGCCGTGAGGGTGGATGGTCTCACTGCAGAGTGACATTCAGCCTCGGTGACTGTGAGCTGCGCTTGCCGCTTGTGAGATATCGAAAGTAAATTGTTGTGTGTATGAAAAATAGTTCATTTGTAACACAGTTGATATAACGGAACGGAAAGAAAGTTACTGCCACCAAGCATTTATATCGCTTACTCTTCTCAACGAAGAAATTGAATGCATTGTTGCGTTTCCAGACATTTTTATTGTAACTTTTATTAAAACGGACTAATCAAATTGGAAAAATTTATGATAGTTCCTTGATGATAGCTGATGCTCTTTACTAGGAAAGTGCTTATAAATGCAGTACCGTATGTGCTATGGTACATGTGCTATTACGTCTAGTTCATTTAGAAGAAAAGGACGCCTCTAGAGCTTCATAATCAGCGCAGGTCGATAAAAATTTAAAGATATAAATAGAATTTGCCGATGTTTAAAATTTTCATTTTTGAAAATTTCTCTTATCGTAAATATAAGAATTAGATACTCATGAACTACGATGCGTTGTAATTTTAGTGACAAAGGCTGGTGATATGTGCGCTGTAATGCATGAGACTCGGCGAGTACTGCGTCGGTGTATTGCATTTGGCAGTGCTTTGACTGCTGCGCGGTACAGAGCGCAGTATTAGTGCATGTAGGCACACTAGGCAGTCAGCCGCTGTGCGTATGTTCGTACGCTTACTGCCGTGCTGCTGCTGCTGCTGCTGCTGCTCATACCATTCACAAGTTGAGCTTGGCAGGTGATGCTCATGCAGGCACTCTCGATGTCATCTTACTGCTGTTGCTCTTCAATTTCACGTTGCTCTCTTTGCTTGTGCCATTCATGAGTTTTGCAGAGCAGCAGGTGAGTTTCTTCCTGCCTCTATTCATGCCCTGATCCAGCTGCTGCTCTTCACTCCCATGATTTCGTTCATTGTTGTATTAATTCTTTTACTTTTGGCCGCTCGTTATTTTACACGCTAGCCATTGATGTTATACTCGCTGCAAATGCGGTAGCGGCTTCTTGTTAATCCAGTTCCTATTGGTACTTTTGTCTTGTACTCGCGTGATAGTTGTGCTCTGAAGAAGGCAATGGAGTGCAATAACAACAGGCCATGGGCCTATTTCTTCAGTGCCGACATTTCTATTCTATTCTATTTCATTCTAATTGTGAATGAGGCAAGGTTCTATGGCCACCGCTTTGTTTGATACTCCGGTACGTGGACGATATGATGATAGCATATGGTTTTGCATAATTACTACTTCTCACGAAATGTTTGTGACAGTGAGATTTAAAATACTTCTACTATACAATTATAAATTCTCAGGGTCTCTGCACACAAGTACTAAAATATTCTGCACTTTTGTTGAGGTTGATAAGAGTCTTGGTTAAGAGGTCGCACCAGATATTATTTTTTGGCTGGTTGGCGATCATCGGACAACCTACGCTTGACGATCATCAAAGTGCTATAATCTTGAATAATAATAAGCGTGGTAGTGCTTGATATCATTTACTGAAATTACCTGCCAACAAAACCTCACTATGCGGTGTGCCGCAAGCAATTTTGAATGGTTTTGTTTTAAAGCGATTTTTTAGATTTACCTCCCACTACCGGCGCTTTCGATTTAGTTAGTTAAGTAATTCTTGTAAATATTTAAAATGATTCCTTACCTGAATTTCGGTAACATTTCATATCCGCTTGAAAGTGTTAACCGATTAATCGTTTTCGTCGCTATGCCGTTGATCATAAGAATGTGGAATATGGAAGGAATGTAAAGTTGCTCTACCTTAGATCTTTCATTAAAAGCTTTTAGTATAAGCCATGCGCAAGTGATGGCTCCGAGACTCTCGGCTAATTCCACTGCCATTTTTGTCGAGCATGGCTTATGTATTTAACTCTCATTTGTTGATAATTTGTCAATATAAATGCATTGTATGTGAATTAAATGCTTATATTTTCTCTACAAGTTTCACTATCGCATTGCGTTCTGTGTGTGACGCGGTGTGTGGTCTGTCTACTGCTCTACTTCATCTACAACCCTGTCGCAAATGTGAGTATTTTTCAAAACCATTTTCTACAGAAGAGAGAATGTTCCAAGAGTGAGTAAGTTTGTGCGGATGAACTCGCCCGGAGCTCAAGAGATCTGAGTTCAAATGAGTAGCACTTCGCTAAGATTAAAGTGCTTGGCTGAGATATTACCCTCTTATCGAATGAGCGGCGTCTTTGGCTTAGATATAGAGCTTTGTGCTGATACCGAGACTGATAACTAGTGCCTTGCGATGGTGCTGGCGGTGTAGTTGCTTTTGCCACTCTCAGTTTAGCGGGTGATATCACCTAAGAATTACGGATACTCGTATTATTAGAACATTCATCTTCATATCTTAACTGTCTCCTGGCCTGACCTGTGTTTTAAGCGTTCCTGTCCTGATCATGGACGCGGTGTTTTGTTTTTTGTTTCTTTGTCGCATGACAATAAATCATAAAACATGATTTATTCTCGCCCTAGATTTGAGTGCAATTTTTGAATTGTACTGCTGCTTTTGCGGTAGATTTATTTAACTAGTAATTGCGCCAGAACGTAGCAAATGACGATTCTTGTGATTGTTGTTGAACGGGTACATTGAGGTTAATCGAAATGGCCACTCCTTAATTTTCTGTCTTGACGAGCAGCTGTTGCGGCGACCTGATGGTCTATACTTTGCTTTTTATCTGGTGATGTCACAGCTGACCTGAACACTGATATGTTGATAGAAAAATTTTCGAAGCAATTGATTAGCTGATTGGAAAAAACGTTGAACTCTAGTTTCAGTGATGGTCTATAATGCCGTCATTCATGTCGCTTGTTTTCACAATTTATTCACGAGATAAGCTGCATCGACTGGACAACCAAGACTCCTGGTTGTGACTCATGTTCTGCATGCTATAGGTTCGGAATCAATTTCATATCTGCATCATGATCGTAATTCGTATGGGCGTCGACAAGAACGTTATATTTATTTCTTAATCTCGACATTTTTTCCAGGTGACTCGTAACTGCTACTCTCAATTCATGCCTACTTTTTGAATGAATTAAATTTAAGCTTTTCGTGGTGCTTCTCATTATCTCGTTAATGCAACGATTCCCAAACCCCCTCGTAATGGTTATTATTTATTAATATAAGTTCTGAATACTTTTGATCAAAGTTCTCACATGAAAATTATTTTGGTCTATTAGAAACGTTGCTGAATAATAAGAAAAGTAAGCAAGATAAAGTAGAAAACCACAGCATTCAAGTTGAATCAAAGAAAGCGATGAATTATTAGTGTCAAAGATTGAAGTAAAGTGAAGATAGGAGAAAAGTGAAGATTGAAGTACAGTGAAGACTGAAGTAAAGTGAAGGTTGAAGTAAAGTGAAGATTGAAGTAAAGTGAAGATTGAAGTAAAGTGAAGATTGAAGTAACGTGAAAATTGAAGTAAAGTTAAAATTGAAGTAAGGTGAAGATTGAAGTAAAGTGAAGATTGAAGTAAGGTGAAGATTGAAGTAAAGTGAAGATTGAAGTAACGTGAAGGTTGAAGTAAAGTAAAGTTCCAAGTGTTTCTTGAGCAAGTAATGCGCTGAAGCTGCAGTCGCACGATGGCCACGCTGAACTCTCTGTTCTCGTTCACGTCGCCGGCGGTGAAGAAACTCTTGGGCTGGAAACAAGGCGACGAGGAGGAGAAGTGGGCCGAGAAGGCTGTCGAGAGTCTCGTCAAGAAGTTGAAGAAGTCCAAGGGCGCCGTTGAGGAGCTGGAAAGGGCTTTATCCAACCCGGGCCAGCCTTCCAAATGCGTCACTATCCCCAGGAGCCTGGATGGGCGTCTGCAGGTGAGTCGTGTGATTATTTTATTTGCGATGTCGAGGATGCAAACTTGTGGTCAAGTTATCACGGAAGAAAGCTTAATAAAGTATCAGTACTATTTTGGGCTCAATTCGTAAAAAAATTTGTTGTGAATAATTGGTGCTTTCACTTAAATTTATACTTGATCATTTGGGTCGTCTTGATTGCGCTGATGGATTCTGAGAGTCGCCGTGAACAAGCGTGATAGCGAATTTTGTTTGAATTTTGAATTAATGAACTGATTGGCTATTTAGATGTCGTGCAAGTGTTGTGTATCTTCACTTGAGTGTTGACTTACCAAACTTGGTCTTACTGCGTTCAATGTTCAAAATTCACAAGGCAACCATCATCCGTTTTACATGAAATTTCCAGAACTTAACAACCGAGTTACTGATGGTAGCAGTGCGACATTAGGTGACGTACGCAGTAACCACACATATAGTCAGATGGGGTAAGACAGGACCGAAATCACTAACAAGCCCGTAGCATCTATACCATGAATAATTAAAAAATCCTAAACATATCACAAGGTAATTTTGACCAAAATACTCCATGTACTGACTACACAATAATATATTCATTTAAAAACTATTTTTGATAAACTGTAGGGTAATAGAGGACCATTTGTGGGGTAAGACAGGACCATTTGTGGGGTAAGACAGGACCATTTGTGGGGTAAGACAGGACCATTTGTGGGGTAAGACAGGACCATTTGTGGGGTAAGATAGGACCACTTGTGGAGTAAAACAGGATCATTTAGTGGTCCTGTCTTACCCCATGTCCGGTCCTTTTTTACCCCATTTTATAATGCATGTCAGGCAGTGATGGTAGCAGGTAGGAATGTCTAGTATGTCTCAAAAGTTGCTTATTACTTGAGGTTACCACTTACCACTTACTAGACTTCTCTTTCAGTGGACTGTCTCTTCTAATAATTTGTCTTATAATTTAAACGCGATTATATACTGGGGATATTTTTGTGCACAGCGTTGGGTGGCGGGGGTGATGCGCAGTATAATTTTAATTGCTGAAGTGCGAATGCTATCGTATTATGCACGTCCTAATTGAAGCTTATGCTAGCTTGGCTTATTGAAGCTTATACTTGTAAGCTTATGCTTGGCAACAGTTGAAGTCGTAAGCGCACAAGTGATGGACCGCAACAAGTGGCAATTCGTACCGTGGAAGCGCTTGATGATCCGACTGCCTGGTTCAAGACATCCTACGATGAATGCCACAATTAAGTTAGAATCGATTAACAAGACGATTATCAGGGTAATTATTTGATGGGGGAAAGGCAGTGAAGATGACGTAACGTCATAAAAATGTCAGTTCAAGCTATCTTGCAAATAATCTGACGAGTTAGGTAAGTATTCTGGTGAATTTTTTTTTAAATGTGGCAGAAATAAGTTAATTAATTAAATTACTAACATATGCTCGTTCTATATGCAACTATCTTTTTTTGACATTTCAGAGAATAGGCGTATATTTCGTTGATGTGTTGCTGTGCTGCCATATCTTTTATGTGAACATGAGCTCCCATGAATCTTGTTACACTCAAGCAGTTGGAACATCAGGCAAGTGGGGCTGCTCACACTCTTTTTTTTTCTGCGTGTGGACGTTGGAATTTATCTTTCAATTTGCACTAACTTGTATTTCTGTGCGACTTGAATGGTTCTGTGTAGTGGACCGGATATGCTCTAAAGGTGAGATAAGCTCGCCGCAGTGAAGCCTTAACCTCGTATCGAGTCATGCCATACTTGGCATCAATGGCGCCGTGTGGCGTCTCATGTCCGTTGTGGCGCAACATATCTCTGAAGGTAATGTTTTCCGAGGGGGAATGTTATTGAGTTTGCTCTTGACAAGCAGAGGATGCGTGACATTTGATGCGTGTCACGGATGCATGGCGATAACTGCGCCGACGCTAGCAGACTACTAACTTTTAGCCGTGGCCAGCTGTTTTCCTGCTTGCATGTAACTCTTTAAGACGCAGTCACTTCATCTCAAGAATGCTATTCGAATTATTTTCACATTTCGAGACTTATTCGGCATATTAAATTGCATTCTGAATATTTTCTGTACGGAGAAAACCATTTTTCCCTGTTTCAGTTATAATTAACGATCCGTTTCAATGTTGAAATCGAAAAAAAACAGTATTAATTAAGAACACTGGCATGCATTCTGAAGTTTCGCGGCTATGTGTATACACATTTGGGATCTTTATCAACATTGAAATATTTGATCAATTTACCTATGATCGACTCAATTTTTGAGGGGATCTGATTTTACACAAATGAAATCACTACGCCAGGTTTGGGCCAGGTTAGTAATAATTGAGTTCCTGCCTTAATTTGAGTTGAAGTAAACCCCATTGACGTGTCGGATCGAGAAGAATATTGCCTTGTCAACCCGAGCATATTGACTTGTCAACCCGAGCATATTGCCTTGAGCAACCCAAGCATATTGCCTTGAGCAACTCGAGCATTTTGCCTTGTCAACCCGAGCATATTGCCTTGTGCAACCCGAGCATATTGCCTTGTGCAACCCTAGCATATTGCCTTGTGCAACCCGAGCATATTGCCTTGTCAACCCACGAGCATATTGCCTTGAGCAACCCGAGCATATTGCCTTGAGCAACCCGAGCATATTGCCTTGTGCAACCCGAGCATATTGCCTTGAGCAACCCTCACACCGCTACTCATGAATGACTGGCATGCATGACTGGGGGCTACACAAGTTCTAACGTGTCTCGCTGCTCTGTGTGGTGTCCACTTCTTCGTTCACGCGTACCCTGTGTGATAAGACACACGAGTGGCTCGCATAGTCTGCAATATGGCTCGCATAGTCTGCAATATGTTTATTCCTCAATTTTATTTGCTGCACTGAAACGGGTACTGTTCAACTCACAATGCCTTTAAGTGAAATAGGTACATTTGTATCTGAAAGATTTCACAAAGACACAAGAGCTCGTTGCGGATCTCTACAGTGGTGTTGTGATTACAGTTTTATTTTGACTAAATTTTGAAGTGTTCACCAAAGGAAATAAGACTAGACTCATTATATTTTGCTCCATTGCTTTCAAGTTCACACGTGACAGTCGTCGGCTGTTGATGATTTAGCGACTTTTAGCGTTAGGGCTTTGATCTCAATTTGTTCTTGTTTTTCGGTCACCCAAACAAGGGTCTTTTTTCTCCGAGTTTTTTCTGGGAATGTAGAGCCTGCGTTGCTGTAATTGAGCGCGTGGTCCTGACAGCGCTGCTCGTAGCGCAGCTTTTACTGGCACTAAACAAGGACACGATACTGCATCTCTTCCTCCTCGAGACCCAAATACAAGCAAGCTATTAACGCTCGCTTCCAACTCGTACTTATACCCGTCATTCCTCAGTCCAACCAACATTTTTCTCCGCACGGCATCCGGAATTCCAGAAGCGTCCTGTCATGAATTTTATTCAAAACAAACCGCTGGCATTAATTCCCCCAGCATTTTTATCTAGCAATTCCACTACAGAATATTAATATATTTGAACTCATGATAGCTTATGTAAATAAAAAGCAATTATTGCTTGATTTGTTTACTGATGGGTGTACTTAGTCTCCATCGCAGCTATATGAATTCATGTAGTTATGCGAAATGACGCAATCGGCATCAACTTACGGAAGACCTCATCGCATTGCATCACTCTTTCTCGTTGCTATAAATTACAGCTGGCTTTGGTAGCTGGTTTCTAGTACTGCTAGCATAGTATATAATAATTGACCTGGCGTTTATTGAATGTTCATTTAAAGTTGGAAATGTAGTGTTCATTTTTAATTGTTTTTCCTATTCTCATTTGTTCAGAGTTCTACGTTAGCCACCACATTTTGACATTGCGAAGGTATCCGAGATTGACTTTATAAGTTCGTGAAAATATCCACTTACTAAGCTTTGGACTTACTCTTTTGGTACTTTTGTAATATGGTTGAAGATTTAAATGGCCTAACATCTCGCCTGAAAAAGTGTCATGATTTGAATCTTTTACAAGCGGATTCATTTAAGAGAGTGGCAGGCCTGGTATTGCTTGTTTTCGGCACAAGGCAGAACCGAACGAGTCTTTGAAGTCTATTTCGAGATCCATGTGTGCTCAGCGAGGCGCTATTTTCGCCAAGACTCAGCAGCACAGCGCAATTTTCTGGTGCTTGTGTTGGGAATTTTCCTTGTCACTGAAGCTCGGCAATTGCAGGCTCGCCTGGCTCTCTGGAATGGCTGGAATGTCGCTCTTTTCCTTGCTTTGAGCCTGATGGTCCCTTCCCCACACCCCCTGCTACATAATACCCCCTCCCACTACTTCCTACTGATGACGTCACAACACCCCCATCCCCTCATCCCCCGCAATACGTATACGTTGCCCGCTGCTTGCGATGACGTCACGCCCACGCAACACGACATGGTTGCTGTATCCTGTATACGAGAGTGCTTCAAAAAGTTCGTGGAAAAACATCAGTTGGAAAATAACTATCAAAGTTATAAGGTTTGTTTGCATACATATGCTCTATCATCTCGGATAATACATTTCTGTGAACGGTGATACCTGCCTACAAGTCCATTTGTGTAAAAGTGAGAGTCATGCGACGATTTGAACCATGTTTTGGCAGCTCTTTTTGCTGCGTTAATTGATGGAAACTGGGTACCTTTCATTGATTTTTTCATGTTTGGAAATAGAAAGACGTCTGATTTGGCTTAGTCGGTTCTATGAGGTGGATGCCGCATGATTTCCCATTAAAATTCGCGTAACACAGCACCTGTCTGCCGAGCGCCATGTGCGAGTGCATTGTCGTGGAAGAGTGCGCTCCGGTGCTGCTGCCCAATGCGCTTCTCGGCTATTCTCTTGGAAAAGTTTATCAAAATCTTTACATAATAAACAGCTTGAAAATTTTTCTTGTTCTCTAGGATGTCAAGTAACAAGATTAACTCTGCATCCCCGAAACCCTTCCCTCATGAACGCTCAGATTTTTC